CCCACTAGCCCACCACCGTACACCACCACCTATCCCACCTTCACACACCACCACCAACCCACACCCAAACCCACTACCGTACACAACCAAATTGAAACCCACCTAACCACCTAACCACCTCACCACCACCAAAACCCACCTCACACACCCAAAACAACCACCAAAACACCAAAAAAACACATAAAAAAATCCATAATTCACCAACAACATATATTTCCAAAAAATCAGAAAAATCAACAACTTAATTAAAATCAAAATTAAGAAGAAAAAAAAGAGAAACATACCTTAATTTGACAATAAAAACGCCAAAATTGGGTTTATAAGGTCAAATTCGACCCTGAAAACTCTAGATCTAGAGTTTTCATGGTCAAATTTGACATGAAAACCTTGATTTTCATTGAAACTCTTCAAATCTTCTTGAGTTGCCAATCAAAGAAATCGAAACGAAAAAAAAAGAGGGGAAGAGGAAAGAGAAACAGGGAACAGGAGAGGAAGGAGAAAGAGGGGAAGAGGAAAGAGGAGTGGCGCCGAGGCAAGGGGAACGCCGGTAAGGAAGGAGAAAGAGGGGAAAAGGAAAGAAGAGAGGAGAGAGAAATAGAAGGGAGGCGGGGAGGGAGAAAGAAAATAAGGTTTTTTAGGGTTTTAAAGGGTTTTTTTTATTATTTAATTATTTTCCGACGGAATATTCCGTCGAAAACTTAATTTTCCGACGGAATATTCCGTCGGAAATTTCCGACGGATTTTAATTCTGTCGGAAAATTAATGTTTCGTCGGAATATTCCGTCGGAAACTTTCGACGGATTTTATTTCCGTCAGAATATACATTTTCCGACGAAAAATTCCGTCGGAATGCCCATATATTCCGACGGATTTGTATTCCGTAGGAATTCCGTCGCAAATTTCCGACGGAATATAAATCCGCCGGAATTTATAGCATTTCCGACGGAATTTTGTTTCCGTCGAAATCTGGCCTTTTTCTTGTAGTGTGACCTTTAATTCCTTTAAACTACAAAATATCCAAAATTGTTGAACACAGTCAACCTACCTAGTCATTTTGGCTTAATCCACCTTTACTCAACATACTAACAAGTCATGCTTGAGTAATAAATAAAAAAATAATAACCTCATGGAATAATTAATAAATTCATTCCACTTAAACCATTCAATTCCAATCCTTCAATAATCCAAATGTGGTTAACAAACCAATCCTATAAAAAATATGCTTGTATCAACATTCCATCAAACAATTAATCTAATATAATTCAACATGCTTGCATCCGTAATTCCATACAAACATAATCAATTCACCAAAACATATCTCATAAAATTAAGCACATGAATTAATTCAACGTTTAACCAAACAATTTCCATCCAGGAGTTCTCTAGACATGAAACTAAGTTCCTTGCTTTTGGTACCTAAACATGATACTACTTACAACAAAGTAGACATGTACGTACCTCATGTAAACAATTCTTTGTGCCACTTTTAATCAATTAAAGTCTCCTAGGGATAATCACCTCCTAGAAAACAACCAATAATCAAATATTAATTCCCAAACTAATTTCAAGCAATATAATTTAATTAAAAACTCCTTAAAACTTCCTTTAAAACATCTTTCTATGCTCAATTAATCATTAGAAATTCAATAGGAACAAAATCCCCAATTTAACTACTAATTAGAACCCTGAAATCCCAATCTAACTAAATTAAAACCCTTGGTTTATAATTCATAAAATCTGAAAATAAAAATTAACATTATAATCTTAAATTATAACTTTAAATCACCAAAATTTAGTTTTTCATACTAATTAAATTAATTGCAAATAATAAAATTAGAACCCAAAACAATTAAATCAAGTTTTAAGCAAAATAAAAGGAAAACAAAGGAGGGGGAAAGAGAGTGGCTGTCGGTTAGGTGGCAGCGGCACCTAGGTCAGGTGGTCGGCGGTACGGTGGCCGGCGGCAGGGTAGCAAGTGGTCGGGCAATAAGGGGTGAGTGAAAACTCACGTAAGTAGGGGGAAAAAAACGAAAGAAAGAAAAAGAAAGAAAAGGATAAAGAAAAGAAAAGAAAAATAAAGGAAAAAGAAAAAAGAAATAAAATAAAGAGAAAATAATTTAACTAACCTTTTCGTGTGGGGAAAATTGGGTAAAATTGGGTCTCATGTAAATAATGGGCCAATTAAATATGGGTCTCATGTAAATTTGGGGATTCATGGGGTATTTATAGGAGAGAATTGTAGGGTAAAATTGGGTCTCATGTAAATAATGGGCCAATTAAATAAATAGAATGGGTTAAGCTTTGTTTGTATGGGCATAAATTGTAGAATATATGTTCATAAAAATCCTATTGTAATAAAAAAAATTCCACCCAAAAAAAAATTTGAAACTTTTAAAATAAAATCCGAAAAAAATACAAATAAATATTATAAATAAAATAAATTATTTATAATTATTTAAAAATATGGGGGATTACATCAGCCGTATGTACTTCGACCTCTGCATCCAACTCTATATCATGGTCTGAATAGACCTCTACTTCTGGACGTTTGTCCTCAGGAGGCGGTACAGTCTCTTGAGAAACCATCTTAGAGGTACTCTCCCCACAAACGACACCAAATTTTCGAGGTTTTTTGCGAGATTTCTTGCGGGAAAGTTACTTCACCAAGACTGATTGCTCTTCGACTGTACCTGTAGACAAACGGAAGCTCCGGGGGTTCGGAGTTCCACCTCCGACGATCAAGTTAGTAAAGAGTCAAAGTAGGGTAAATGTGCGGAAAGTAAAAGAATCTTCTCGGATCCCGAGATCAGGTGTTTTCTTTGATGTAAGAGAGAGTATTAAATGTTGTAATGAATGAACATGCCCCCTAAAAGAGGTAAATGTCCCTATTTATAGGGCATTGGAAATCAGCGTCCTTTTCCTAGGCTATTAACCTAGGTAAATGGGTTGCACCGTTATTACGGCACCTCGGGATTTGGGCCTTTGAAGGCCGCCATTTCCCTGATGATAGGATATGTCACGTGTCAGCTATTGATAGGTCTTCTTTGGACCTCTCTTAGGGTGACACATGTCACCTTCTGATTGGGCCACGTGGCATGGGTATTTTTACCTAAATCCCTACAAGATAAGCTCAACGATGCCTTAAGGGCTTACTAAACGACTTTCAAAACTCCAATTGGCATGACTCCTTATAAGCTTGTCTATGGTAAGGCATATCACCTTCCTGTTGAGCTTGAACATAAAACTCAATGAGCTATCAAGAAAATCAATTTTGATATGGCTAGTATGGGTGAACAATGATTGTTGGATTTGCATGAACTTGATGAATTGCGTTTAAATGTTTATGATTATTGTTAAGGGTAAAAGTACCCTCTCTACTAGGCCAATGAGAGCCTGACACTACACATGTCAAACTAGCTCAGCCTAGTTAGGCCAATCAGATTTGGACACATGGCAACAAGGTCAATCCCATCTAAATGGCCCATGACCTGGTTCTGCATAATTACATGAGGAGGTAAAAACAGAAATGCAATTAGGTTAAAACCTTAATTTACGTGGATTTTCATGCACTATATAAACCCATCATTAATGATGGTTAACACATGTTGAAAAACAATTAGTGTTCCCTAAGTGCAATTATTACCATTCCAATTTACTTCTTTGAATTTTGACATTCTGGTACTAACTAGATCGTTGGAGCGAAACTTCATCAAACTGGGTTTCGTTGTTTTGCATGAGTATGGACCAGGTTAGGGCATATTCGGTATTGTAACTTTCCCGTGGGACATTCAAAAAATCTTGAAACATTTGGCGTCGTTTTGTGGAGAAAGTACTGATGAAATGACTCAAGACGGTCTTAAACCACCAAATGCAGAGTCAGAAGTCCAAGTTGAGGATGACGTTGATACCGAGCTAGAAATGGAAGTTTATACCAATCCAAGCGAAAAAACTCTGAGGGGAAGACATTGTTGGATTAAAGAGAGGAAAAGTAACTGGCCATTCCACTCTAGCCAGGTTGTGCGAAAGCTCGCCTGATCGGGCATACCTTGCTCGCACGGTTGGGCGCATATGCAAGTTGAGATTACGTATCACACTATCCTGATTGGGCGCGGATGCGCATTAGCAGACCAATGACTCTTTATCTTCCTCTTCCTTTGTAATTTCCCAATAACATCTATAATTAATGGGTGTTTAAGGGTAGTGTTATCTCTTCTTATTTTCTATTAAAAGCTTTGTCTTCTTAGATTCTTCACCTTTTGAAAAATCAGAAATTACGTTCTTTGATAATCATATCTACACATATATACGAAAGAGCTAAACACATTCTTTTTCTTTTGTGCATAAGTTTATATGACTCTAACCTCTCACCCAAAAGTGCTTTTATATGAAAATGATGTGTGAACCTTAGGGAACGTGCCGGCTAATACAATTGAGCACCACAGTTGCGCCACAGTTTCGTTTTCAAGTTAATGATTTGCATTATGACATACCATGTTCCTTTTGATAAATCTTTGTTCAGTATTTTTTGGTAGCCTTGAAATACTCCTTATTTTACAATAGACATGTGAGATCTAATGATTTAAGGGAGAGAGTTCCCATCGAGACCAATACAAAAACAGTGCAGGTTGGGAAACCTCATCCTAACGGTCTTGCAAACGAGCAGGCGGCATCAACTATCGTCACCATGGACAAGCTAATGGAAGTACTGGGCAAGTTCCAGGTGGAAATCAAGGGAATACTAGGTTCAATGCATGAACCTCGAAGAGAAGATACAACTATGAAGCCGCCTCATACTAAAAAGAAGGGAATAATCTCTCTACACCCACAATAGACAACTCAGTTTAACCTTAATAGACACTACAACAAAATAAAGCAAAGATAACTACAAAAACCATTGACAGTTATTAAAAAAGTGTGCATATGAAGCGAAAGGACCTAAATCTCGTGATATTTTGGCGACAACACATACTTTTTTTATAAGTGATGTGGGGTTTATATAAATAATAAACCCTAGCCTCTCTAAAGTTGAAAAATAGTTGCTCACTGCCGAAAACTCAACCCAAAAACCTCAACTGTTGAAAGAACAAAAAAAAAATGGCGAAATCACTGAGGTCGAAGAAAGAGAAAAGGCTTCGAGCAATTCGAAGAGAGATTGTTGAACCCTTTTACGAGAAGAAAGATGTTGCCAAACAAGCTGCTCAAGAAGCCGCTTTTTCTGCCCCTAAACTTGCCGTTCGCAACACCAATAACACCTCCTCTAATCTAACCATGGGTATGTTTATTTTAGCTATTTGGGTGTTTTTGTTCTTTAAAGTTTGATTTAGTAGTTAATTTATTATAGTTATTTAATTTACCAAGTATTTATATGTGTTGAATTTTTAATTGTTTGATTTGGAATACTTGTGAGTAGGAAGGAATGAAATTGATTGGTTATTGTATATGTTTGTTGATAATTCACTGATGAATAATGTGTTTCCCTGAAAAATTCAGTGTAATATTGCTGATAAATTAATGAATTAGATACTAGACACATATAAATTTGATGGGTTGATTGAATTAGGATGGGGAAATTTCATAAAAGTTCCCAATGTGAATTTAAGTTTTGGGAAATCCATAGAAATCCGAAGAAACGGAGTTACAAAACTCAATTATAATAAAGAAGTATGATGTTGTAGACACCTAATTGTGGACCGACGCCTACCATAGTCAGGTTTGTTACTTCTTATGAGTAATACCCTATGCAATTGCAAGGCACAACGACCAATTGTTTTTATTTATTGAAAATGGGCTAGGGAGAACTCGTTCTTGTCCGAGTGCAATATACAAGTATATGATATCAGCTTTAGTATTATGATTATGATCCTAGTATATTCTGTATAAAGTTAGATATGTAGGTAGAATTTTTAGGATTAAGTATATGTTTGGACAATAGAGCTGAAATTTTACTATTTAGGTTTGTTTAGACAGCTGAGGTCACCAAAGTGGTAAGGATCAAATTAGTACTCGTGGTTGCCTGTGCTAGCTACTATGTTCAAGACAAGTAGATGATTCATTTTAAGGTTCCAGGTTTTGTTTTCCTTGTTGTAATGCAGTTGCGAAGTCCTCCATTTTTCGTTGATTACTTTATGGCAGATCTCTTTCTAATTTGTCTTTCCATTTCCTTCTTTTGTTTTGATTCTAAAGGATTTTGTGGGTAGCTGGATCAAGAGACAAAAACTAGTGTTTTGGTATTTCTAATTCCGGTCATGCTAAATCTATTAGGACTTCTGGATAGGAGAAGTCTTTGTTATTGTTTGTTTGGAGTCTTTGTTCATTAAACCATGAGTGTGTGTTTTGTAGGGAAGGATTGAACAAAATAGAAATGAATAGAATTATAGAAGGGAGTTTAATGACTTCTTTTTTTGTTTCAAAAAATTATACGTAATATGAGATATGCTTGGAAGGGAACGGTGAAGAAAATGAAGGACCCCTTATGACATGTTCTTTCTTCTTCCATCTCTACATCTAATTCATTTCATTTTATTCCATTAAACCAAAAAAAGGAAAATTTAGTTCCCTCCATGTCCCATTCTTGTCTAAGCTTACCGGTCTTTTACTTGATAGAAATACCAAACAATTGTAAAAGAATAAGCTTTTAACAATGAGTTTGGATGAGTTCAAATTTGTGTTAGATTCACATCTAATGTAATACTTCTTTCGTTTTTTTTTTGTTGCAATACTTTTATTTTCACGGTCTAATAGGCAATTTTTGAAGAGGAGAGAGAGAAAAGAAATAAGAGGGACCCATGAGGGTAGGAGAGCTATAGAGAGAAAGAAATGTCAAAAATGGAAAGTGTTGCAAGTTATCACCAATTTCCAAAATAGGAAAGTTTTGCAACTAAAAAGAAATGGAGGGAGTACAAGTATGTTTTTTTTTTTTTTTTTTTTTTTTTTTGGGTAATGTACGACTGCATTATTGTCCAGGTTGTCACTGGAATGATGACAAATGAGTCTTTTGGTTTGGGTTATATTTGGGTGATGAGTCATTTGATTCAAGGTCAGGTTGGGTGGGTAAAATTTGGGTCATGTTTTATTGTAATTTTATCGTACTAAATCAATTGACTTAGAATTTGGTTCTGTTTAATTCAACTTATTTTTATCCTACTTATTTTTATCCTGAAATTATATTATACGGACTTGTATGAAATCATCTAAATTTAAGTTGTAATTATGAAGACGTAAAATGTTGAAATACATATTGAGACACTTTTAACAAGGTCCTGCTTTGCTATGTTTGATCTTGCTGATGTTAGTTTATGGTTATGTTTTGACATTTAAGAAATCAATGGTGCAACTTTCTAGTGACAACTGTAGTATTGGGTGTGGGTTAGGATCATATGGTTGATAATAAAAAAGGACTGAGCAGTACAACATTGCTGCCAAATTTGATGCCAATGGTTTATTGACAACCATTTGTTTTATTTCTATTGATTTATTTTCATATTTTATCGATTTATTTTCATTTCTATTGATTTATTTTCATGTACTTGAAATAAGGTTGTAGGAACAATATTAACTGTCATTATATAGGGTAGTCTTGGTAAAGACTCTACTTGAAGTTGTCTTCAGTTGATGAAGGTTTATTTGCAAATTTGCAATTACTCGTAGTTTAGAAAATCTGAGTTTAGTTTTTCTTTTTTTTTTTATTTATTTATTTATTTTTTTTTATTTTAGCTTACTCACATCTCTTTCTACTGCAATATCACCCATTAGTTTGCTTGATGCAAATGCATTTGCTGTAAAATTTCATTGATTATAGTATACCATTGTATTTGTGCTGTTTCATGGCCTTTGAATTCCGACATTCGTCTATATGAGGTTATGAGTGATGTTGCATTTCATTGGTAGTTAGTTGGATGATCAACTTATTGGTATTTGGTTGTTTCAGATATTGATATGACTAGTCAAGGAACGGGGAACCTAAAGCCTGTTGGTAAGAAGATGAAGAAGAAATTGAAGATTGGTAAAGGAAAGAAACGTGGCAAGGGGAAGATCAGAAAGACACACATTTAAGAAGTATGTCAATTTTAATGGTTTAATTTTGTAATCAAAACCTATAGTCGCTGACCCTATTCAAATTACAGTATTGCTTGATGGAAATCAAAGCCATGTTCTTATTTTGTTTTGTAGCTAGTTTCATTGGTTTTGTTCTTAGTGATTTCCTCTATCTGTTATGGGACTTCAGAACAATTAGGTATAGCTAGTAAGAATGATATTGTAGTTTGATGCTATGTGAGTTTTGTTTCAAGCGGTCTTGTGATTGGAAATTTCAAGGCTTTAGTATCGGATAGCTATGTTAAAGTTGATTTAATGACCAATGTAATTTATTTATTTTATTTTAACCTTTTTAAGAAAAGGAATAGTTAGGCTTAAGCATGGAGAAGACGCGGATAAGCTCAACCCATTTCATTTTCGAAGATGAATGAAGAGAGCTGAAGATCAATGGCTTTTACAAGTGTGTACTCTTGTAGCTTGTGTGAAATAATATTGGTCGTTTATAACTTAGTTAAAAATAGAACATCATATTTCTGTTACATGTGAAATGAGAGTTATCTGCTGCCTTAAATTATTAATTTTGTCGCCCTAGTTTCTCCAATACAAGTATACAAGTACTATGAAATTAATTATAGAGTACTGTCTTGCCCTAATTTTACCTTTTGGCAATATTTAATAATTATTTTAAAGCTATTAAGGAAAATCAATTATTGGTAATTAATATTCAGCATGAAATTGTATAATGAGGAGCTGATGAGTAGCCAACATGCAATTAGTAGCATACAACAAAACAATTATAGTGTTAACACGAAATTATATATAAGTGAAATTTTTTAGCCCTCTTCTCCAAAATTCTAAATGGGAAGAGCTCATAGGACGAACAAAAGAAAATTGATGAAAAGTTATGATCAAGATGCTATGATAATACATGTTGAATATTATGTAGTGATAACTATTAATAACCAGAGTTGACGCGGCTACAATGAAGTCGAACTTCTCCATCATCTTGTGCTTCGCCTAAGATACTCCCAAGCTTTACCATGGATGATGAAAACAAATAAGGAAAGCTTCTATCGTCGTCCTTGGCTAAAGTACCAATATATTCAGAAGTCCTATGATCAGTGTATAATACTTGATCTGTGTATAATAGACCCATGTTGCTCTCAATATTTTTGTAGTACTGATTATCGAATGTGCTTGGTGTTTTGGCATCAAGGTTCACATACTCGGTCCCGTTCTTACATTTCCTTCTCAAGTAGTTCAAGTATCTAGGAGCCATGATAGGGTGCTTTCCATCCTTGTTGCAGTTGGCTAGCCGCTTTTGAATGGCAACACATGAACTCCTTCCAATGGTGTGTGCTCCTAAGGATCAATGAAGAAAGTGAGTCCATGCATTAAAAAAGAACACAAAAAAAAGCCACATTATTTATGGTCCTCTTATATTCTTTGTCTCTAAAAACTCTTTCTGTACGAGTTTGATCTCATTAGAAATTGAGGATGAATACATGATGTTTTTTTTTTAAAGGGCTAAGATTATGATAAATTGAGGAAATTACCTGAAAGCACAACCAAATCAAGCAAGCTCAATCCTTTAGATTGATAAAACTCAATAAGGGAAGTAACATCTTCTCGGCCTTTTGGAAGTTGTTCTGCTTCTTGGGCAATCGAAATTCGACCATCTTTCCTTCCATATTCATTTGACCAAAATGGACCTTTAACTAAAAGGGTGGCATCTCTAGCAGCAGCAGTAAGAATATCTGCACAAGACACTACTTTGGGGCATTTCTTCTCAAGTGTTGCCTTGATGTCATCAATTACTTCGAAGCCTCTCAATGTCTTGCTTGCATTGGCCCTTCTTTCACTTCCCGGGTAATCCAACAAGATTGATGCATCACATCCCTATGTTAGATTGAAATTTCAATCATTAATATTTTGATGATGAGAGTACAAGTGTTAATACCTTGCTCTCAAATACCACATGTCCACAACAAATGAGTATTAAAGACGTATTGAACTGTGAACACCCTTACTCTCATATGGTAATTTCTAATTTTAAAAATCATGATCTTACATACCATGCACCTTGTAACTTTTTCTTTTGTTAAGCCTCAACATAAGATTATAAACAATAATGATATCTAACTTATTAGCTTTTTATACATTTTTTATATAAATTATTAATTTCGCTTTAAAATCAAATGAAACAAACAAGAAGAAAGCATACCCGAACAGAGCAATCGTGGAAATGCAACCTTATAAGGCTAGCAGCAATGGTTTCATCCTTCTTATACCACTCCCAAACTTTCTTGGCAATAATTTCTTCAAAATCATTGCAACTATAGTCATAGTAGTCACGATTCAAGTCTTGGCAACAAACTGATGAGATCAAACCAAGTGAAATTATAACAAAGAAAGCAGAGAAAAATGAGTGAGAATTCATTTTGAAATTTGATTTAATTTTGAATGTTTTATGATTTTGTCACAAAAGTTGCATTATATATTGAGAAAAATGATGCAAAATTATGTAAAATACGTGAGGCGCACATCTCTACCGGCGTACAAACATGGAGACATGTAAGGTAGACGATTCTAGCTCTTATTTCATGAATCTAATATGATAGATTATAATATTATGTTGTTGACCTTTTATGATAAGGGAAATTCGAAATAGGTTGACAATTGAAATAATTATTGGAAACATTAACTCAATTATTATCTGTTAGAAAAACTCCTTTAATCTAATTCAAAACTATTAGTTGGTATACTTATAATTTTTATTTAGGTACAATGGACTTACATAGACCGAGGGTTTTTAAATCAATAGCCGTGTGCCCGTGTGATACATGAACACAAATCACAAGGAAAAAATGTCAATTATGCTAATATATTACCACCTGCATGGTTGCATACTTGCATGGCTCCTTCAATTTTCATTTACAAATTACAAGTAGACATACATTTAACCATGTATAACTTTGATTACATATTAATAAATAATATAAAACTATAAATTGAGAGTATGAATTTAACAATATTTCACAAGATTATGTTTCTCATATATATTGATGATAAATTTTTGTAATTGTTTCAGAATTTACCACGAAAACAAAAATGGATAAAATATATAGGAAAAATACACTATATTAATCCGAACTTTGTCCTATTTACTTTAAACCGGTCAACAACCTATTATTGTAGGTTGGTGGATACGTGTCGGGATGTAAGTGGTTAAAAAAAAAACAGAATAAAAAAAAATAATTTAAAAAACACAAAAACATAAAAAGAAAAATCATGTCAGTAGCCCACCCCCTCCAGCTCCAACCGCCACCTCCCCATACCACCCCCTTCACCAACCACCCAACTGGAAATGAGCCACCTCCCCAACCCCCTCCCTCTGCCGACGATCCCAACCCCTCCCTTTTCCCCACTATCCTCACAATTCCCCCAACCCGACACACAAAAATCGACCACAAACAACAGAAAAATTCGATTTTACGTTTTCGACCACAACGAGAGATGAATTTGAAGGTTTTTAATCTTGGGGATGGTGGTGCTTTCGTTTAGGGTGTTGGTGTTTTTCAAGGGAGGATATTTTGGGGCCAAAAGGGATGGAGGAACAGAGAGATGAATTTGGAGGTTTTGGGAGTTGCGGCAGTGTGTAGGGGATAAGGGGATGACAACTGTATGGCTGGGGAAGGGGAGATGGTTTTTCGGTGGCCGGAGCAGGAAGGGAGGTGGCTCTGGTTTTTGTTTTTTTTTTCTTCTCCAGACCAATCAAGGTGTGGCATGTCGCTTCATAATTATTATTATTATTATTTTTTTATATAAAAAAACCTTTTAGGTAACTTGATTAGGGGATTTTCCCCGCCCAATCATAGTCTGCCACGTGGACCAATCATCTCCTGCCATGTGTCCGCCACATGGACCACCCAGGGCCTATCACGTGTCAGGCAGTAGTCAGTCCAGCATGGACCAATCATACCACGCCACGTGGCCCATGACATGCCAACCTGGAAAACGGCCACCGAGGCCCGATTTCCGAGGCAAGGCCCAGTCAGTCCTAGGTTTACCTAAAACCTAGTATTAGGCACACACTTTGAGGCTATAAATACAGTAATTAAGCCTCCATTTAACACATTCAAAATTAATTACTCTCACCTAGAGAAGCCTAAATACACGTGCATACTAATCGCTAGACCAGACTTAGCATTATTTGCACTCCCCGATCACTCCACCTCTTCGAGGAACCAGATCACCCTCTTTACTTTCCGCACCTTTTTACTCCACATACAAGTACTAACTTGATCGTCGGAGGCGGAGCTCCCACCACCCGGAGTCTCCGTTGTTTTGCAGGTACAAGCGGAAGGATCCCAGTCCTGGAATTGTAACTCTCCCGCAGGACTTAAAAAAACCCCGAAACATTTTTATGCCGTCTATGGGGAGAGTAATTTCGAGATGGAATCACAGTCTGTACCGATTCTAAGTGAGAAGCGTCCCATGGACGACCCCCTAGTTCAGACGGACCAGGATACTGACAATAATGAGATTGAAGTCGAGACTCATACGGCCTCAGACGGGACCTTAAGAGCTCGACGCACCTGTTCCACCGAAAGGAGGGAATGGGAGGACTGCCTGGTTAGATCTAGTAAACCAGCCGGCCTGCCTCTTGATCATCAACAGGCGGCCGAGGTATCTGCCCCCATCACCAGAAGCGAACTCATGACCTTCATGAATAGTTTCAAAGGGGAGATCCAGGAGCTTATCAACAAGAGGACGCCTGTTCCACCAAAGGAACAGTCGGCCAGAAGACCCTCCCAATCTGGGAGGAAGAAGCTTGTAAAGGATCGGGAGGCGACTCCTTACCCTAAGCCTAGGGCGAGGGAGGAACCAGTGATCGACCTAACTAAGTACCACTTTCCCTCACCAGAGAAGAGAAAGCCCATCCGTCATGTTTAGCCGGACGGGTCAAAAAGAACATACTCTGATGCTCGAATGTTGCTTGAGCAGAAGAAGAATGACCGACTGTCAGAGTCGGCCTCTACGTCTGATTTTCAAGACAGCCTACATAATACCTCCCTGAGGTATTCAAAATCAAATTATGAGAGCCAGACGCCTGGAGCCTCCTCTCGTTTTGGTTCCCAGAAGCATCAGGCGGCCCCGTAAGTGCCTCCTCAACCATACGTCCCACAGTCCCAATATTTCATGCAGCCCACTCTTTTTGGAGGACAGGCGGTAAGGAATGTCCAGTCTTTGGACTGGCAACTTAGGTTGCTCAAACTTGGAGAACAGCCATCCGCCTTCTCTAAAGAAATAATAGAGGCCGCCCAGCCGACCAAAGTAAAAAATGTGTTGGTAGGGGCATATGATGGCACTACCAACCCAATAGATCACATGATGGCATACACTAACCTTATGTACCTCCAAGGGTTGGATGACGCCACATGGTGCAAGTGTTTCCCGATCACATTGAAAGGAATCGCCCAGCAATGGTTTGGCAACTTGCCGACCGGGTGTATTAACAATTTCAAGATCCTCGCCTACTTGTTCAAATCAAACATCGCAATGAACATTCCTATTAAGAAGACCACCCTTGATCTAGGAGCCATACAACAGGGAGAGAAGGAGGGACTGTGCTCTTACATCAAAAGGTTCAATCTGATGAGAATTCAGATACAAGGACTACCTGATGAAGTAGCCTATACAGACTTTTTCAAAGGTCTGAAGGACGGGTCGAACTTCAAATTCGACCTCGCCAAAAAGAGGGTGACCACCCTCCAAGAAGCAATGATGGAGGCGGACGCCTACATTCAAGCGACTGACCTCTGTAATGTTGGAAAACAGTCGGACCATAAAAAATCCGACAAAAGGGAAAGCCAGCCAAAGCAGTTGGGCAATAAAGAAGAGAAAAGAAGTATGGGCGGCTAACTCCTCTGAACATCTGTCCTAGAAGAAAAAGAAGGAGTTTAAACCATACTCCCCTAAGTATCAGTTTAACAAGGATAGCCATGCCATCCTCAATGAAATAAAGGATCGACTCTCTATTGAGAAGCCGGCCGCAATGAAGGGTTTCGTCAGCAATCAGAACCAAAGTAAATACTATCATGAGGACATTGGCCATGAGACCAATGAATGTATCAGCCTCAAGCGCCTTCTTGACCGCCTGGCAGAAAAAGGAGATCTCGACTCCTATGTCAAGAAGTCAAAGGGAAATCCACCTCCCAAATAGAAATAGGCGGCCAAAAGGAAGCAACGGTCAGCCGACAGCTCCGACACAGACGAAGCGCCCATTTATACCATAGCAGGCGGCTTCACAGGAGGTGGCCCTACTATCCGGGCCAACAAAGATAACATCAGGCGTCTGGATGTTAACTTCGTCGAGCAAGGACGGACCTCCAAAAGTTCATTTCCTGAGGTTGTAATCACTGAAGAAGACTTGGGAGGTGTTCGGGGGCCGCATGACGACCCTATTATAATTGAATGCAAGGTGGCCAACCAAAGATTTGGTCGAATCCTTATTGATACTAGAAGCTCATCTGACCTCATTAGTTATCGATGCTTGACCAAGCTCAAGTACAAGACTGAGAGCATGCACCTTGTCTCCCATTCTTAAGTAGGATTCGGAGGAGGAGTCGTCCACCCAGTTGGACGGGTGGATCTACTTGTCCGCCTGGGTGAGAAAGGGGAGGGTCATCACATGGTGGTCCGATTTTCGGTGGTCGAAGAACTGTCGGCCTACAACGTGATCTTAGGGCGACCCACCCTGAATAACTCAAAAGTTGTTATCATTCCATCTCTCATGCTCCTCAAGTTTGAGAGGGATGATGGAACAGTCGGCTCCTTAAGGGGAGACCAAAAGATCGCCAGGGAGTGTTATCTCTCTGATATAAAACCTATTGTGGCGGCTGCTTGCCCCAGTGGAGAGAAAGCTGACCTTAAACAAATCAAGGATGATACGCCTGCCCAAGTAGTAGGCGGCAAGAAGAGAAAGACTGTCCACATGGGGGCCGAAAGAAAGGAAAAACAATAGCAATCACTGGCCGAGGAGCGGTCAGACGAGTTCCGCCTTCAGCCGGCTGGTGAGCATGTGGACGTCACCCTGGACGCCTTCAGGTTGGGACGACTGCTCTTGCTGCGCTTGGTGATGATTTTCACCAACTCCTGAAAGAATTCAAGGATATCTTCGCATTTGAAGTACATGAGATGCCAGGTATAAGTCCAGACCTGGCAGTACATAAGCTGGCTGTGGATCCTAAAAAGAAGCCGGTCAGACTAAAGAAAAGGAACCATGGTGAAGAAAGAAGCCAGGCGGCTGCCACCGAGGTTAAAAAGTTACTTGATGCTGGGTTCATTCGGCAATGTTATTTCCCTAACTGGGTCGCCAATGTTGTCTTAGTAAAGAAGCCGAATGGTACCTGGCGCATGTGTGTGGACTACACGGACTTAAACAAGGCATGCCCCAAAGGCAGTTATCCATTGCCCAAGATTGAC